GATTGAACATTGCACAGCCATCTCGCACCGGCGTCTCGGCTTTGCGATTGGCTTTGATTGGGCTGTTGCGTCCCGAGTACTTTCTGAGGAGGGAGACGTGGTCCGGAGAAAGTGCGCAGGATGCTGCAAGCGTCACGGATCTCAAGGGCACTAAGGTTTCGTACCGAGCAAGCCATTCGTGCATTTGCCACCTCCAGCGAGTCCGGTGAGCCTGCTGGTGGTGACGGGTGGCCGGCCAAGGGGTGGGCCACTCCACCCGGATTCTCAATATCGGGAGGAGCACTGGGGAGCTCAGAATGGCCGGGATCCCACGCACCCAATGTGATGCGCAGGAGCTTTGGAAGCAGAGGGAGTGAAGAAGATCCTGCAGAGGCATCTGGGCCAGGCCGATCGGCCCCTCACGTCTGCCGAGCTGTGGAGCCTTACGGAGGTAGGGCAGCCAGGATGTGTGCCCTGCGTTGCAATGTCACGTCCATACGTTCATGCTGGAGGAAGGGTATTCGCAGCTGCTCTGTCTCAGGGGGAGGCACAGGACGGGGATGCGGCATGGTGCTCGTGAGTGGCTTGCCAACTTCCGTGCCAAACTTGCGCTCGCCCCTCAACCCCCGGTACCACACCACACTCCCCGAAGCCCGAAGGCGTGAAGAGCAAGCGGCACATGAAGCAGATGCTGCAGCAGATGCGGAAGACCCAGGTGGTCGCCACCAAGCCCCTGGGCGCCTCCACCACCAAGAAGTCCTCCAAGCAGTTTGGGTACCTGCTGGCGGGGTCGGCGGCCACGCCTAAGCCTGTCGCCACCCCGGCGAGCGCTTGATTTTGGAGTCGTCATGTCCCATGGTATCTGGGCAGCACACACCCATGCTTTCTTCCTTGACCATGCCAGCACCGCCCCGTCCGGCCGCTCTGGCTCCCGGCTCTGCGCCGCGGCCACCTGTCCGCCGTGTGCATGTAATGCAGGCCCCCCAGGATGGGCCTCCCGGCTCACATGCGCAGCCTCCGAACCGCGCAGTCGCAGCCCCAGGCCACGTCAGCCCTCCAGCAAGTCTGCGGCGCTCTCGTACTCGCCCCGTGCCGACGCGTGGTCCACCAGCCCCGCGAGGAAAGCGTCGCCGGCCAGGGTGTCGCCGTCGCCGACGAGCGCGCAGTGGCGCCGTGCGCGCGTCACCGCCACGTTCATGCGCCGCGCGTCGGCCAGGAAGCCGACGCCCGCGCCGCCCGCCTCGCCGCCGCTGCTGCGCACGCAGGAGATGACCACCGCCTCCTTCTCCCGCCCCTGGAACCCGTCCACGGTGGAGATCTCCAGGCGCGCGGCCAGCTCCGGCGGCCGCAGCTCCCGCAGGCGCGCGACCTGCGCGGCGTAGGGCGTGATCACGCCCACGTCCTCGGGCCGCACCCCGGCGGCCAGCAGGCGCGCCACGTGGGCCATGGCTGCCGCCGCCTCGCGAGGGTTGTAGGTGGACCCGCCCTCCCGCTCCACGGCCTCGGGGCAGTCACAGCCCGCGGTGTCGATGAAGAGCAGGGCGGCACACAGCGCGGAGTCATCCCCATGCACACCTGTGGTTATCGTGTGGGTGCCGAGGAATGTTGAGTTTGGGAGGGGGCGGGGGGGCGCGCGCGAGAACCTCACAGATCATTGGTGTTGAGGCCCGGGATCACTATGAGTAAGAAGGCATCCAGCCCCATGGGAGTGGGGATCAGCAGGGTTGTCTCGGCCTTATGATCTTTGGAGGGAAGGAAAGACTCATGCGCGGGGCATGGGAGGGATTCATCCCCCGATGCGGTGACTGGTCGCCAGGACACCTTGAATCAGGGCCCCAAGGGAGTGACGCCCTCCTGAATCGTACCATACGCACAGCCCCCACCCCGCAAGCGCCCCCTCTTTCCCCATCCGAATCTTTCCCCCTGCTACAGCGTCCCCTCCCTCACCCGGCAGGTCGGCCAGGGTGTGCGCCGCGACGGCCGGCGCGGCGACCAGGCGGCCGCCATACAGCGCGACGCTGCACCAGTCCATGATGTCGGTGTGCATGCGGTACTGCTGAGTCAGCATGACGCTGCGTGGTCCTTTTGGCGCCATGCCCTGCAGTCGCTCGAAGAGGGTGGCGGCCAGGCCCGCGGCGGCCGCCGCCTCGCTGACCACCGTGGGCGGCAGCTGGAGGTGGTCCCCCGCCAGCAGGCCGCGCTTTCCTCGCAGCAGCGCGGACCAGCATGCGGGCTCCAGCGCCTGCGCCGCCTCGTCCACAACCACCAGGTCGAAGTCCGGCAGGTCCCGGAGCTGGCGCGCGTCCACCCCTGGGGCAGGTCGGATTCATGCGTGTGGGGGGTGTTGAAGAGGGGGGAGGGCAGCCACTGTGGTCCAAAGGCCGGTCGGATTTGGCACGGGTTGTCGACAGGAGGCACCAGGGCAGCCAGATGTCGTATCTCTCCAGGCAAGGATCCCCACATCCCCAGCCCCTCACCGGCGAGGGTGCAGCAGACGACCCGGGTCGCGGCCAGCACCTCTGCCACCGCCCGCTCCTGGCGCTTGCGCTCTTCCTTGGCCAGGAGGCGGAGCTCGCTCCGCACGCCGCGCCGCGCGGCGCCCTCCCGCCGCCCTGCAGCAGGCGACCAAGGCGTCAGTCACCCGATTCGTCATCCAAGTCTGGGACATGGGCGGGCCTTTGATCCACTGCGTCTTTGGCAGGAGAGAAGCTACACGGCAAGCTGGAAGGGGTGGTGTGACCCCCTAACCCCCCCACCCCCCCAACAGAATGCCACCTTGCAGCTTGAGCAGCTGAGCATTCAGCGCCTTCATCTCCTTCCTGCAGTCCTTGGCCAGGGCCGAGTTGTCACTCCGCAGCACCTTGGCCTCCAGCGATACATCCAGCACCTGAAACAGGGACGGGGATGAAGCATGAACTCCTGCTGCTTGGACCACACATGATCCACGCTTCTAAGCCCCGTACCGATGCAGCGTCCGTTTGGTATGCTGGTGCAATCCAACATGCACGCAGGGCACCACCCCATGCCACACTGCAACAAGGGAGCCGCCACATGACATACTGCGACCCAGGCCCTACGTGCCTGGGGCAGCAGCCTGGCGGGGTGGCCGACACGCACGACTGGCACACCGGCGGCGGCCAGCCTCTCCGCTAGATTGTCCACCGCTATGTTTGAGGCGGCGCAAGCCAGAACCCGGCTGCCACGGCCCACCTCCTGTGTCCAAGGGAATCCAAGTTTCGAGATGTTTGAAGCCGGCCAGGCACGCTCCCCGGCTGCACCAGGCACCAATCAGCAGCCTGATCAGAGCAGCTGCCTCCTCGCGAGACAAGGCCCCTTCCCCTCCAAGCAAACCTGGACGATGGCCTCGACCACCGCGGTTGTCTTGCCCGTGCCCGGCGGGCCGTGGATGAGGGCAAGGTCTGGGCAGGAAAGCGCGGCGCACACGGCCTCCCTCTGCGTCTCGTCCAGGCTCGCATTGGTCCATTGGACGGGGCCGAGGGGGGTGGCGGGTGCGGCCGGCCGCCGGCCGAAGCACACGTCGATGAGAGGGGAGCTCCCGTGCTCCGAGGCGGAGGCCAGCGTCTGTGGGTAGAGATCAGGACAGGAGTGAACGTGGGGAGCGAGCTGGTGGCTGAAATGCCTGAAGAGAGGCGGGATATCGCCTCAGGCCTTCACTGCGCTACTCGTGAGCAAATTCACAGACCGACACGCCACCCATGCGCTGTCAGACGCCCGAACCCAGTCGCACATTCAAGGCGGCCTTCATACGCGTGTGGGTCACGGTGTTGACCAGCTTTTCCAGCCTCAAGGGCACGTCCAGTCCGTCCTCAGGAGTGTCATCCACTGGAACAAAAGGGTGGGCTTGGCAGCTGAGCTGTAAGCACCGCCAGGCTTGGGAGTGGCATGCAGGGCGACGCAGGTCAGCTGTTGTGGAGGGGCCCAGGGTCCCAAGGTGCATGCGGGGGCCAGCGGAGCATCGGCGCGGGATGGCGGTGGGCGGGATCTGGACGGCATTATGTCCAGGCAAACGACACAACATCCCCTCTCACCCGCTATAACTATGGAGTCGTCCCGCAGACGGTACACCACCCCCTCCGCGAGTACGGGGGCGCCGGCAGCGGCCTTGCTGGCGCGCAGGCGCACAATGTCATGGGGTCCAAACTTGTGGACTGGCAGGGGGCCTGGCGGCGTGCCCTGCACAGGTGCAGTGGAAAGCTGGTGACGCTAGGCATGCCGAGCTGGCGACTCGCCACGAGTCATGGAACCCTTGCCAAGAGCGACTCTGCCCATCCGCTCCCTCCTCACCAGGCTCATGTTTCCAGTGCACACAGCTATGTCCTCCACAAGAACAGCACCCCCTCTTGCCCCTCCGCACACCTTGTTGTGGACCAGGGTGAGCAGGCTGCGTCCCAGCAGCCCCGCTTCCACCCCCGTCAGCCTCAGGTTTGGGAGCACGAGCCCCCGGCCCCCGCCCCCATCCAGAGCGGCCTCTGCCGCGGAAACTTCCGCGGCCTGCTCAAGGTCCAGCAGGGACTGCATTCGAGCGGCAAAGCCAGGGACGTCGCCGCAGTTGGCGGACCGCTCCCCTGAGCTGGGGCCGGACACCTGCGCCTTGTTCCCGCCCTTGCCTGGCCGAGCTTGGATGCCATGTGTCCCGGGCCCGGCAGTGGTCGCCTGTGCCGCGCTTCCCTGGAAGGCCGTCCGGACAGCGGCACCCAGGTGCTGCTCCAGCAGGGCTGCCAGAGCATCGTCGGCAATTGGCCCATCCCCGTCGCTGACGCAGTCTCGCGTCACCTCTGCGTCCCCGAGGATCAGCCGCCGCTGGCTGCCTTCGCCGGTGCTGCTATGCGCCAAGCCGCATTCCTCGGCGACTTCGTGGAGCAGTGCACGCTGCCGTGAGGTGAGGCTGGCCGGGAGCAGGATCTGGAATATCAAGTGAGGTATGGTGGTGGATGGGGCGTGCAGGGGGGCGCCTCGCGCATCATGCGGTGCTACTATCTCGTATTACTCGACTTATCAAGAGTCGATCTGGTTTCACAAGGCTCACCTGCACATCTTTCTGGACCATGGGAGTCTTTGCTTTTCTTATTCCCTGCACCCCATCTTGTTCATCGCTGGGTCGTGCAGCACCTGTACACCTGGCCCCAGCCTTCGCTGGCATTCAAGCCTCAGTGGGCCTTGGCCTGCTGCATAATGGACACTATTGCGGCGGATTTTATCCCGCTTCTCCCAGAGCAGGAAATCCCGGCAAAGATCAACCTGAAATTACCGTGTACTTCGGAAGTGTTGCGCAACGCAGAATCGGGCGCTAGAACCGAAAAATCTCGGAACCATCCAGGCTCCGAAACTCCCACTTTATCCATTATCGACGAGAGGAGCTATGATCGCGGTGAAATATGTGCTCTGATGATCGAGTGAATGGCTAGCAGATTGCCGCGCATCCCCACATAATTCCCAGCATGACGGCGTCCATGGCAGGGTGTTCGTGTCACACCACTCCCAGCCGGCTGCAGGGCCGCATGAAGGCACCCGGGCCATGCCTAGTATCCCCAAGCCTCTCCAAGAGAAGGAAGTTTCGCCTCGGAGCAGGAGCTCACCCCCTCCAAGCCTCCATGGCCCCGCTCAGGCAGTGCCTCATGCCGGTGGCGGCCTTCGTCATGGCCATGCACCTCCATGCCGGGGCATGCTCAGCGGCGGAGGTGCTGATCGGCACCCCCCGGGTCATAGACGGCGACACGCTGGAGGTGTGGATGGTTGCTGTCCAATTGCATGTTAAGTGCCGGGCCAGAGTCACCAGACCTCCCCCTGTCCTGCAAGCTCCTCTCTGT